AGAGAAAGATATCCCCATAATAATGGAGAAAATATGAGCAAAATGGCCGCCGCGGTTACGCTTACAGCACCGTATCCTTTTTATGAAATTTTCCTTTGCCAAATAATTCAAGGTTGGCCTGTTGGCGTAGACCTTACCTTTCCCGTGGTCCCAAAGGAACAAGTCGCAAGCTGCTTAGTGACGCTGAATGTGCGATTTTTCGATGAAATGCCGGCTCATTTTCATGCATTTCAAAGACCAAAACAGCAAAGACATGACGTTCTTGATAATCGGTTGACTTGAGTTATTGTGTTAACTGAATTTTATAAACCTTAAGAGCCAAGTCTTTATGTGAAATACGGTGTAGTGACGTGTGTGGGATGCCACATTCTAAAATACGACGAGGAATGGGACACCCTGGGTTTTCTTCAACACTTTGGCTACAGCTGCAATATTCTTCTTCTTGACATCACTAACATGCCACAACAGCTAGATTTTTTCCACCAATTTTTGTTCGGCGAATACGGTGGTTGGGGGACGATATCCGTGGAATTTTTTTATCGAAATGGTTCCGAAGAATGAGTGCAAAAACCACGAGGGCACTTTTAGTCGCTTAGTAAACAAAAGCGTGACTAAAATAGCACTGATGACATTGACATTGACAAATTGACGTAGATGACAATAACAGTGTCGCCAACATTAAAAAAAATTTAACCCAAAATAGTAAGCCCGCGAATCTCAAATTAAAAATTCACCTTACTTTTTGCTTACAAAGTATATTCAGGATGCACTTTGGAATGAAGTTCGGGAATATGAACTCTCCAGGAAAAAAGTCTTAAATAGAAAAATGAAGAACGAAACGAAATTTGTTTTTTTCTTTTATGATATTCCTGCGGTGATGACGCCTTTTTTTAAGTTCGAACCGCCCAAAGAAACGTTTGATTAATAAACCGACGTTATTGGCCCCCAAAGTTATTTTTTTTCCATTTTCTTAAAACAAAATATTTTAATAATAATTTTTTCTTCCAAAATTTTTTTCCTCCCAAATGAAACACCCTTTAAATGCCATTCTTCCATTAGCTTCTTACTCATATTCTAAATAAAAAAATTTTTGGTGTTGTATAGCTGGAACGCTTTGGCTCGATATTACTTTACTTGCTGACTTATGCCACTGTATGGCTGACGGCTGGAGTATGCAAATGATCTCATCGTGTGTAGCATTTTTAGATTTTTATTTCATGCTGTCGGCAGCGAGCGCTTTTTTCTTTTGCTGTTAAAAGCAAAAATAGCAAGCAATTATTTGTATATTAAAATGAATTGTGTATGCATAATAATTGAGTGCGTTAAGCTTATTAGGCGTCTTACATACATATATACTTCGCAAGACATATTTAGAAAATAAACATTTAAATAACTTTTATGAATTTATGAAATTTTGAAAATATTTATGATGTTCTGTATCTTGCTTATTTTTTAGTTCAAGATAAATTGTAATTGAGGCTCGAGCTCTAATTGAATTGAAAAGAAATTTATGACAGCAATATTTTGCTAAAAATTTTAATTAATTTTTTTTTAGATATTTCTGTTATTAAATTAATTTTTTTTTAAATTTTTTTTATATTTTTTTTATTGCATTGAAATTTTTTTGAGTTTTATGTTTGATATTTTTTTAGTACAGTAAATTTTTTGCACTTTTCTGCCAAGTTTTTTATTTAATTTTTTTATATTTCTTTTAATAATAAACACAGAATTCAAACATAACGTACATCCTCAGTTTTTTTTTACAGAAACCTTCCAAATTTCAATATTTTCTTGTTTAGTCTTAAGTTTTCCATTAAGGCATTTTTGTTTACATTATTTTGAGTCTCGGTCTTTTTTTGTAGTTTTTAAAAAAGTTTGTTGTTTTACATTTTTTTTTATGCATAAATCCCTAACTTTGTATACTTTTTTATGTGCAAAAGCATATATGTATTTATACACATTTTCAATATTTGCTCGTTTCTTACAAGACAATTTTGTTATGGTAGAACTTACTTATCTGTGTATGTACATGCGTGTGTATGCAGTTGATAATGTTGCTCTCAGCACATTTGGCTGATCTACTCTAAAAGCTAATGCACGTTTTACAATTGCTACATACTTATATCAATAAGGTACTGTGTATATATTCTAAATTATTCATTTCATGCAAATATCGCTTACTTGGTCAAAATGATATATGCGCATATGTATGTTAAGCAGATGCTAATTTTTGTTATAAATAATGGAAAAATTGTAAAATATATTCTTCTTAGATGCGAAAATGTTTGAGAAATTTGACCGAAATAAAAAAAAAAAATTACTGAAATTTTTTTAAAATATGCTTTTTGCTTCGTATGGAAATGTACCACAGAAAGCGAGACTCTTGAGAAAAGCGAGAGCGAGACTGAGTTTTTTAAGCTTTTTAAAACTTTTTGACATTTTTCTTCCACATTTTGCTATAAGTAAAGGCTTCAGCGGTTACAAAGCGCAAATTATATTACATACGAGTGCTAAAGGATTTTGACAAATAAAATTTATTTGTTCGAAAGTATGAACATTTTTAATAGACAGATAACAGACCAAGAAGGAATATCTGCGAAATTTTTATTTTCAGTATTTTTTTTATTAATACTACGGAAGCACTGTTGTCCGAGTGCTAAGAAACTATTGTAGAAATATTATAGAACAAAATTTCATAAACAAAAGAATACATACATATATAAAAGGCTTTTGACATGTATGACTGACGGATGAACCATCAGCATACACTGATCTTAGGAAATGTGTTCCATGCTATGACCTAAGCATCAGAAAGAAGAACTAAGATTTTCTTTTAAATAGTTTGGCTTACATTTGGTTCAAATGTAGCTTTCTGCTGGGAATCTGGGACCGATCTATTCTAAAAACTTGCATTTATCATTTGGCTTACATGAAATTTGGTACCTACATATGTTAGGCTTGTGGCTTTACAGTTTCCTTTGGGAAGTATAATAGTAATAGCATTCATTGCTCAATTTGGTTGACATTTGGATACAAAGAGTTAAGATACTATAACAAAATAAGTAACGCAAAAGAAAAAAAAAAACAAATTAAAAATCTTATTAAAAACATTTTGGAATGATATGCGACCGAAGGAGCGTGAAAAATCTAATTTAAAATAAAAATAAGTTTGATTTACTCTTCATAAAAAAAAAGTTCGTCCACTTTTCACCGAATACAAAGTAGTACGTTATTAGAGTGTGCTATTGGTTAAATAATTATAGTAGTTTTAATAAAATTAGCGAAGGATTGCATTAACAGGCTGCTGGAACTAGTTTGCCATAATTAAATATTGAATAATCTGAGAGCCCCCTGCAGCAGTACAAACATCATACATCGAGTGTATTTCTGAGCTGAAATTAGCTCCTCATAAAAAACCATGAGCCGTTCGTAGGTGGCTTAGAATAAATTGTAAGCCTCTCCATTTGTTGAAAATAACTTCAGCAGTCTCAAAGCACCAATTTTATGTATATTGTGCTATCAGATCAATAGGCTTTTCGCCTATTGAGTGTTTTATTTTTCAAATTTAGTTTATTTCATTTTAATTATACTCTCATTCAACGCCATATGTTCCTACTGGGTTATAACGCACATACATACCTACATTTATATGGGTACACATGGTAAAAATATTGTTGATTTGCTTCACTCCAAATTAATTTAGTGAATTTTAATTGATGGGGATACAAACAAAAACATAAAAAATCAACATTTATTTTTCGGTTGTTGGTTTTTCACAATTTTTGTTTACTTAAAGAGCGTTGGATTTTTGACTCTGAGATTGAGTATTACCAAACTGATATCTGTACATTTGTATTGTACACTTTGTTAGAATTCTTGAATTGTACCCAGAGAAAATTTGTAGCAAAAGCGAAAGTGTGAATTTAAGAATCTGTAAATGGCAGAGCACGCAAACAACGTGAAAGAAATCTTTTGAACGGGCAGCCCTTACGGTTGAGAATGAAAATATTTTTAGAGCGCTCTCCTATTAGGGTCCGCTTTGGTTAGACATATATGGCTGACATGGGTAAGAGTTCTGTCCAAGTGGACTTCTGGCCTGATCTCTCACGCAATGTTGTCTAAAATGAAACCTTTTAATCGAAGTGAAGAGGGCCGATATTCTAATTAGTCCATATAAAATTATAATGACTTTTTGATTGGGCAAATACGTTTTTCATATAGAACTTTTATTTTCTTTTTAAACATTTATATCTTTGTTAATATATACATATTTCTTAGTGTGTACAGTGTGTACTGCCTTTTGAATTCAGTAAATATTGTATTGCGCTTGGTTTTATGAGCGTTTTTCCGCACTCTAGAAGAACTCTGAAAATCTCTCTTTTTTCACATAGACATTTCTTTTCCGCACATCACTAAAAGGGTTAAAGACCAAAACAAATAAAGTGTTTTCAAACGACAGAACAACCCTAAAAGTGGTAGTTGGTTCACCACTTCTCGAATTCTCAAGTGATATAATTGAATGGGAAATCTGAGACTATTGTTTTTTGTAAGAACTGTTCTTATCGAGTACATTAAAGATTTAACAGTTATTTACGAGGTCTCTTAGGTACAAATTTAGTCTCCTTATCTTTAATTAGTTTCAATCGTATAATCATCTCTTCAATTGAGAACTGTTTGGACCATTGCTGTTGGTTGCTGCAGGTTAAAAATTCATTCATAAATTCGAACAAACCCAAGTCCGGTGCGCTTTCTCGATGTCATTCAATCTATGTTTTCTAAAAGTCAACTCTTACCGACTGTAGCGTGCGAATATGTTCACGCTATTAACAGCGTATGAGGGCCTAAAAATATGCAATGAATTTCTGTGCTGATTTTGCGTCGATCTCTGCCAGCGGCTTGTGAAAAAAGCAAATACACACATACACACATTTGTACACATATACATACAAGCCAATAATTTATTTATTTATAATTATTTTTCTGTAATTCTCCATCAACAGGAATTCCATGTCGCTTATCTCTTCATACGTATGGGCAATTCACCACGTCCCGGTTTATGGACGTTGGAGAAATCTACCGATTATGGCAAAAGTTGGACACCATGGATGCATTTCTCCGATTCCGTACACGATTGTATCACTTACTTCGGCAAGGATTCCTACAAGCCAATTACACGCGATGATGACGTCATCTGTTCGACAGAATTCTCACGTATTGTGCCATTGGAGAATGGTGAAATTCCCGTGATGTTGCTAAACGATCGTCCCTCCGCCTCGAACTATTTCAACTCCACGATATTGCAAGAATGGACACGTGCCACAAATGTGCGCATACGTTTATTGCGTACGAAGAATTTACTTGGCCATTTGATGTCGGTGGCAAGACAAGATCCCACCGTGACACGTCGATACTTCTACTCCATTAAGGATATCTCGATTGGTGGTCGTTGCATGTGTAACGGACATGCCGACACCTGTGATGTGAAGGATCCGAAGAGTCCGGTGCGTATTTTAGCTTGTCGCTGTCAGCATCACACTTGCGGTATACAATGTAATGAATGCTGTCCTGGCTTCGAGCAGAAGAAATGGCGACAGAATACCAACGCAAGGCCATTCGAGTGTGAACGTGAGTGAAGAGTGACCATAATTAAAGTTATAATTTTGAATTTCACTCTTACATATATCTCTTTGCAGCTTGCAACTGTCACGGGCACACCAATGAGTGCGACTACGATGAGGAGATTGATCGTAAGGGTTTGTCTTTGGACATACACGGCTACTATGATGGCGGTGGTGTATGCAAGAACTGTCAACACAATACTGAGGGCATTAACTGCAACAAATGTAAGGGCAAATTCTATCGTCCGTTCGGCAAATTCTGGAATGAGACCGATGTGTGTCAACGTAAGTGACAGAAATTCAAAACAATGTGTTTAAGAAGTGTTATTAATAATAAATATTGTTACGTCCAGCTTGCAACTGCGACTACTTCTACTCCACGGGTCATTGTGAGGAGGAGACCGGACGTTGCGAATGTCGCAAAGCTTTCCAACCGCCAGATTGCACGTCCTGCGCCTACGGTTACTACGGTTACCCGAATTGTCGTGAGTGCGAGTGCAATTTGAATGGCACCGATGGTTATCACTGTGAGGCGGTGAATGGCGAATGTCCGTGCAAGATCAACTTTGCAGGTCACTATTGTAAACAGTGCGCTGAAGGTTTCTACGCATTCCCGGAGTGCAAAGGTAAGCAGAAAGTCAAGTAATTGAAATATTTAATTAACTCATTACCCGTACTTACAGCCTGCCAGTGTAATAAGATCGGTTCTATAAGTAACGATTGCGATGTCGAGACGGGTCAATGCAAATGTCTGAGCAGCTTCGGTGGTGTACGTTGTGAGCATTGCAAGGATGGCTACTACAACTATCCCAAGTGTCAATGTGAGTATGAAGACCTGGTCTTTGAAATCTTGAGAATATGGCTCATGAAGATGTAGGTTAATAGCTTAGACAGAATGAGGGATTCAAAAAATTCAGTTAAAGTTTGAGAGAAATAAATTTTGCCCACTAAAAATCCCAATTTGTATAATTTGTACCAGACTATATTATTCCGGCTAAATATCAACGGACTTAATGCTTCCTTGCCGAATGGCGACCTCAAATAGAAAAATATATTTGATAAAGTAAAGTTCCTTGGATGGAACACAATAGAAACCGGTACTGTGAAACGACGATAGCTTCATACATATTAGGCCATTGGCTGGGTGGTTGTAAACCACGCTCCAATCTGGACGCCGGGTACTAGCGAGACGCAAATGAAAAAGATACAATCCTACTACCGACCTCAGGACCGTGACAGGAAACCTCCTAGATACCGAGCCACCACCTAGGTGTATCAGTAAGGCAATGCTCAACTTTTGGGACTGCTGTCAGCACCACTTACAAGAACCACTGAACAGGACGGTTTACCGACTTAGTGCCTGTCGCCATTCACCCTGAGTCCGTCAACAGCTTCCTGAACTCTCTTCCAGTGAGTAGCGTTCATGAAGCAAAATCACCACTCGTCACAGACGAAGAGCTCGAGCTACCTCGAGAGCCTCGCGCAATATTGGCGCTACTAAGATCAGGCTGTTGTAATCGACTACATTCTTACCTATCCAGACTTGACCTCCACATACCCAACGAATGGTGCTGCATGCAATTAGTTCCCGCATGACACTAAACACCTCTTGTTATGCCCCTAAAACCAATTCATCTAACACCCCTTTCCCTCCGGTCCACACCCGTCGAAAGAGCTCGCTTCCTTGACCTCTTGTTAGATGACTCCGCTACAACAACAACAGCGTCTGTAGGCACTTGCTGAGCAGCGGTTTGTATTTGTCGCCTTTCGCTAGCCTGAAAATGAGATATTATTACTCGGTTTACATAATGTGCCCAAAGTGGTACGTCTAGCAGGGTTAAGGTATTACATCTCAAGCGAGCTTTCCCCTTCTACATATTTTCGTGATGAATTTGACTTATTTCCTACCTCTTCCAGATTGCGATTGCGATATACAAGGTACCGAGTCAGAGATCTGTAACAAAGAGTCGGGTCAATGTATTTGCCGTGAAGGCTTCGGTGGACCACGTTGTGACATGTGCCTGCCAGGCTACTATGACTATCCAGCATGTAAACCCTGCAACTGCTCCACACAAGGAAGTACGGCTATCACCTGCGACAACACGGGCAAATGTAACTGTTTACCGAATTTCGCGGGAAAACAGTGTACGCTCTGTAGTGCCGGTTACTACAGCTATCCGGAGTGCTTGCGTGAGTATATTGAGTGAAGCAAAGCCGTTTGAGTTCTTTAATTTTGCTGTCACTCTCAATTAGCTTGCAATTGTGATGTGCACGGCTCGGAGGGTGTCACCTGTAATGCTGACGGACAGTGTTCTTGCTATACCAACTTCGGTGGAAAACTTTGTGATTCTTGCAAGGAGGGTTTTTACAACTTCCCCAGTTGCGAGGATTGCAACTGTGACCCGGCTGGTGTTATTGACAAATTCGCCGGCTGTGGCTCAGTACCCGTTGGTGAGTTGTGCCAGTGTAAGGAACGTGTGACCGGTCGCATTTGTAATGAATGCAAGCCGCTCTACTGGAATTTGAATATCAGCAATCCGGATGGTTGCGAGGTATGCGATTGTTGGACGGATGGTACTATAGCTGCCTTGGATACGTGCATTTCGAAGACCGGCCAGTGTACTTGTAAGCCACATACGCAGGGACGTACATGTAAGGAGTGTAAGGATGGTACATATGATTTGGATGGTTCTTCTTTGTTCGGTTGTAAAGACTGTAGTTGTGATGTGGGCGGTTCGGAGCATAGTGAGTGCGATAAGTCTACGGGTCAATGTAAATGTCATCCACGTGTAACGGGTCGCGGTTGTACGCAACCGTTGACAACACACTACTTCCCTACGTTGCATCAATTCCAGTATGAGTATGAGAATGGCGCACAACCATCAGGTGCCCAAGTGCGCTACCAGTACGACGAGAATGTATTCCCCGGCTTCAGCAACAAAGGTTATGCGGTCTTCAACGACATACAAAATGAAGTGCGTAACGAGTTTATGGTGAAGAAGTCCTCGGTGTATCGTATTGTTATACGCTATGTGAACCAAAATCCATTCAACGTGACGGCGAGTATACTTATACAATCGGAGAATCCACTGGAGGTGGACCAAAAGTGAGTTAATAGAGCTGCATTTAGATTTATAAACTCATATTTTAATATCTTTTCATTTCAGCGTGAAAGTATTGCTACGTCCAACGACCTCGCCACAATTTGTTACCGTATCCGGCGTTAAAGGCAATAAGCCCTCACCGATTGTCTTGGATCCGGGTTCCCGTTACACATTCACAACAAAAGCGAATAAGAATGTGATGCTCGACTACTTTGTGCTACTGCCAGCGGCGTACTACGAAGCTTCGGTGTTGACGCGAAAAATTACAAACCCCTGCGAATTGGGCAATATGGAGCTTTGTCGTCATTACAAATATGCCTCGGTGGATGAGTAAGTTTCTTATTTTTATATATTTATGTAAATAGTATTAATTCTTTATATACAAATATTGAAATTTGTTTCCGCAGCTTCCAACCATCCACAACGCCGTTCATTATCGGCGCCAATGGTAAGCCCACGAATCCGACCGAAGTTTACGACAATCCCGATCATTTGGCTATAATCGGTCATGTTGGCGACATACCTGTGATTGGCGATAGTCAACGTCAACTCAATTACATTGTCGATGTGCCGCAGAGTGGTCGCTATATCTTTGTTATCGACTACGTGAGCACACCCGAATACCCGGAACCTTTCTTTGTCAAATTAAGTTTGGGTGATAACGAAGATAACTGGGGTACTACCACACTGTATCCGTGTCTTTACTCGATGGCCTGTCGCACGCCGATTATCGATGAATATAGTCGTGAGAAGGCATTCTACATTAACAAGGACGACTTGAAACCGGTTATCGTTACGGTGAGTAGCAATTCCATATAAATTATAATTATTATTTTTTAATTTCATAATTTCATCTTTCTTTAGACCGATTCTGATGATTACGGTAATGTTGCTATTATCTCGGTTACTGCTATACCGGTAGACAAATGGTCAATCGACTACATTGAACCCAGTCCGGTTTGTGTTACACACAACAATCAATGTGCCGCACCGAAATTCCGTTCAGTGCCCGATTCAAAGAAGATCGAATTCGAAACAGATCATGAAGATCGTATTGCTGAGAACAAGCCACCGTATGCCGCGTTAGATGAACGCGTTAAGTTGGTGTTTTTGGATAATAAGGAGAACACGAGTACCATTGTTGTTGAGTAAGTGAGAATGCATGACAAATGAGGTGTGAAAATTAAGTAATGGGACTGATTCCATAAAAACTGTATAGTTCAAAATTATTCTACAACTATGCCATCCTTTTAAAGTAGTCCCCTTGGGCAAGTATACAACGATTCCAGCACGTTTTCCATGCTTCTTAACATTTCTGGAACGCTTCGACTAGGATGTCCGCGAGTTTCTTCGTCCCGGCCGTCTGATATCCTTAATTGATTCAAAATGGGTTCCTTTGACTACCGATTTTGTTCGAGAGAATAAAAAAAGTCACAGTTGTCGTGATGAAGCATCAAGCTATGACCAATGTCTGGGAGCACCCTGTTGACTTGTTTTCGCAATCTTTCGAGTATTTGGCGATTGATTTACGCTGCGCGTTCGTGTCTGTACGGCCCGCGACTTATGCCACCGAAACACCTGGGCACGACTAAGAGCACTATCACCATGTGCTTTTACAATTTTTGTGTACGTTTCCGAAACTTTTTCGCTCAATTTGGCGCAAAATTTTATCGCGATGTGTTGCTCTTGATTTAGTTTTTCCATTTTCGTGACGAACACCACGAACACACGTTTGCTCAACACCTCACAGCTGGCGAGTTAAACAAGCTAGAGCGATGGCAAATAAATCAATGGAGAGGAAAAGGCTGCCGTTTGCTTTAGAGCGTCTTGGCTTATTGATATTGCTCAAGTAGCCTCGGATTCTACTAGATCTCTGTCCAGCAGCAATAAAGATATTAATATATTCTCAGAGATTTTGAAGAATTTCTTCGTGATCTCATAAAACTTCTTGTATACAAAACATGAACTTTCCTCTGAGGTTCTGAAATTGTAATTTCTGTGGGCCTAGCCCTATAGTCAGTTCCAAGTAGAAGAGACTAAGCAGTGCCCTGGCGTTTTTGTTTATCACGATTAGAGAGGGCTGGAGGGAATAGCAATGTCTATTCTCCATTCCACTCTCGATCACCTTATTTCGTCTAATATATAATTACACTCAATTATATAATTACACTTTTTTCCCTCACAATTTTCAGATCGAAAGTTGGCGAGCCAGAACGTTATGTCATTTTGGTCAAATACTACCAGCCACATCATCCCAAATACAACGTACAGTATACATTGACTACCAGCAAGAATCAATACAGCGGTAAATTCGATATTAGTCACTGTCCATCGAGCTCGGGTTGTCGTGGCGTTATACATCCCACCGGCGAGGATTGGTGGTTCGATATAGAAGATGATTTCAAATTCACCTTAACGGTGAGTGGATTTTTACTTTTGTATAATAATTTTCAATAAAATACTCATTATATTTCCGAGCAGAACACGCGTCCACAAGGAGTATGGCTTGACTATCTCGTAATCGTGCCCATAAATCAATATAACGAAGATCTACTCGTAGAAGAGTTATTCGATCAGACGAAGGAATTCATTAAGGAGTGCGGTCAAGATCACTTCCATATTACACACAATGCCTCCGAGTTCTGTAAGAAGGCTGTCTTCTCGTTAACATCCGAGCACAATATTGGTGCATTGCCTTGCAACTGTGACTATGAGGGTTCCATTAGTTTTGAGTGTCATCCATTTGGCGGTCAGTGTCAGTGCAAACCGAATGTTATTGGACGCCAGTGCAATGCCTGTCGTACCGGCTTCTATGGCTTCCCTGAATGTAAGCCATGTGATTGTCCTAGCACGGCGATGTGCGAGCCGAATACCGGAGAATGCGTTTGCCCGCCGAATGTGATGGGCGACATGTGTGAGAAGTGCATGCCGAATACGTATGGATTCCATCAGATAATCGGTTGTGAGGAATGCAATTGCAATTACTTGGGCATTGCTAACGGTAATCAACAGTGCGATATGTTCAACGGCTCATGCGAGTGTCGTCAGCATATTGAGGGCCGCGCTTGTGACACCTGCTCGAATGGTTACTTCGATTTTCCACGTTGCGACCAGTGCAGTTGTAATGTGGCTGGCACACAAGCGGAGATTTGCGACAAGGTCGACGGTAGCTGTTTTTGTAAAAGTAATGTGGTGGGTAGAGATTGCGATCAGTGCCAGGAGGGTACATACAATCTGCAGGAGAGCAATCCAGATGGTTGTACGTCTTGCTTCTGTTTCGGACGCACGTCGCGTTGTGAAAGTGCTTATCTGCGTATCTTCAATGTCAGCCTTTTGAAGAATATCACATTGAATTCGGCACATTTCGGCGATAAATCAATTGAATTCCAAATCTGGGATATACCACAAGACGAGATTATGGTGAATGAGACTGCGTTGAAGGCAGATTTCTCATTCCACGAAGTCAACGACGTGGAGGCGGAGGAGGTTGTCTACTTCGGTGTGCTCGACTACCTGAGCAGTCAGAATAGTCACCTATCGGCATACGGTGGCGAGCTCGCCTACTCATTGTACTACACTACCGGTCTTTCGGGCAAACCATTGCTCGCACCTGACGTAGTTTTGCTCAGCAAAGATCATTTGCTGGTGCATCAAAGTTATGAGCAGCCCTCCAGCAATCAAGCGTTCAGAAATCGCGTACAAATGGTTGAATCCAATTTCCAAACTCAAGATGGTAAGCCGGTTACACGCGCTGACTTCATGATGGCTCTACGTGATCTCAAAATGATCTTCATACGCGCCAACTACTGGGAGCAAACATTTATTTCTTACCTATCTGAGCCATATTTGACATTGGCTGATGAGGATGAAGATAACTTTGCCGAGTATCAATATTTGCCTGTGGAACGTTGTAACTGTCCTCCCGGTTATACTGGTTTGTCTTGCGAGGATTGTGCACCGGGTTATTATCGCGACTCTAATGGCCCATACGGTGGCTACTGCATACCATGCGAATGCAATGGTCACGCACAAACTTGTGATTGCGCTACGGGCATTTGCAACGATTGTCAACATTCGACGACCGGTGAACACTGTGAGCTCTGTCAGGAGGGTTACTATGGCAATGCGACATATGGCTCACCACATGATTGTATGATTTGTGCCTGCCCACTCCCATATGAGACGAATAACTTTGCGACCAGCTGTGAGATTTCCGAATCAGGAGATGAAATACATTGTGAGTGTAAGCCCGGCTACACGGGTCCACGTTGTGAGGCGTGCGCAAACGGTTACTATGGTCAGCCAGAGAAGGCGGGCGATTATTGTAAGCCCTGTGAGTGTTCGGGTAATATTAATCCAGTTGAACCGGGCTCTTGTGATACCATCACAGGCGAATGCTTGCTTTGCTTGAACAACACCTTCGGTGTGGCATGTAATTTGTGCAAACCTGGTTTCTATGGTGATGCCGTGAACTTGAAGAATTGCCAGAGTTGTGACTGCGAAGAGTTGGGCACTCTCGAGTGCGATCCATATGAGGGCAAATGCCACTGCCACGAAAATGTCATTGGTGATCGCTGCGACCAATGCAAGCCCGACCATTATGGCTACGACTCTGGTTTGGGTTGCCGTGCGTGTGATTGCGGCGTTGCTTCGAATACCACGCAATGTGATGCACATACCGGCAAGTGTGCTTGCAAGCCGGGTGTGACGGGACGTCAATGTGATCACTGCGCTGTGGATCACTGGAATTACATGAGCGAAGGTTGTCAGCCATGTCGCTGTAATCAGGGCTACTCACGTGGTTTTGGCTGTAACCCGTTCACCGGACAATGCGAGTGCTTACCGGGTGTGATCGGTGATCGTTGTGACGCCTGTCCACACCGATGGGTGTTGGTTAAGGATCAAGGCTGCTTCCAATGCGACTCCTGTCATGATGCACTACTTGATGTGACAGACCGGCTGCGCTACCAAATCGATCCTGTGGTGGAGGAGTTCCAATCAGTTGCTCTAGCGTTCTTCACCAGCCAGAAGTTGAATTACTACGACGAATTGACTGACAAAATTGCGCCCGAGGTACAAAATCTTGATCCAAAACGTATTAATCTGGCGCCCTCACGCGCTTTGGTAGCCGATTTGGAGGCGGATGCTAAAATGTACGGTAAACAGGTTAACTTCAGTATGAGCAATGCATTGGATAGTCGTGAGACTGCGAGTGTGCTCATAGTGAATGCGACCGAGTTGCGGGAGATGGCGAAGACCAGCGCGTTAGAAGCACGCGATGCTATAAATTCGGTAGATGCGCTCTCGAAGAACTTGGAAATGGCGGCTAGTACGAAAATCGATGCGGCCTTGGAGGAGGCGCAGCGTATATTACAAGACTTGCAAGATACAAAAATTGATAAAACCGCTTCGGAGCAGGTGCTGAACAAAGCGAGCGAGCTCTTCACGGAGGTGGACATTTTGGTGGCGCCAATTAAGAATCAAAATGATACCTTGAGCTTGCTAAAAGATGACATTGGTGATTTGAGCGATAAGCTCGAAGATCTGTACTACTGGAGCGGCAATGCAACCGAGACTGCTAACGAAGCGGAACATTTGAACGACTTGAATAAAGCCGCGTTTGAAAACTCGAAATTCGACACGGTATCCGACCAGCAAAAGGAGGCCGACAAACATATTGAAGAGGCAGGCAAATATTTCGTCAATATTGATCTAGCGTTGATCGATATCGATAAGAGGATCAATCAATTGTCCAATGTGCTCTCCGATTTGAAGGTGATCAATAAGAATGTGGATGAGGATCTCCCGGATATGGAGAAGGAAAACGCAGAAGTTAGCGAATTAGCCGCTGAGGCTATACGTCGTGCGAATGAATTGCACACACGTGCGCAAGACCTCACCGATCAGTATGCGCACATGACAGCCAGCGCCGAGCCCGCCATAAAAGCAGCTACAGCGTATAGCGGTATTGTAGATGCAGTTTCGTCAGCACATGAATTCTCCAAAGAAGCCAAATTTGCTGCAGGCAATGCCACGGAGATCACCGACGGCATTGAAGATCGTGCAGGACGCGCCGATAAGGAATCCGGAGAGCTACTGCAAAATGCTCGTGCCGCTCTTAATAAGGTGCAGAGCGAACTCGAACCGCGTCTGAATCTTTCTGCCGCTCAAGTAGATGGCATTTCGAATTTAAATAAGAACACAGAAAAACGTTTGGAGGAGATAAATATTCTACTGCAGCAATTACCTGTTGAGACCCAACATGACCTCTGGAATAATGCCAATCAGAATGCCACCGAGGCACTGAATATCATTGAAGATGTGCTAGATGTCCTACGACCGGTTGGCGCGCAGACAGAGAAAGAACTGCAGAAGGCACGTAATATCTCTAAAGATATCGATGGTACTACCAAGGATATCTCACAAGCGCGATCACAGCTGGACTCCGTTGAGGACATCATACCACAGCTTAACGATTTGGCACAAACCATCGAGCAAGAGCAAGCGAATGTTGAAGAGATTGGGCAGCTCTTGGGTGAGGATATGGAAAACCTGCGGCGACAAATCGAAACTGCACGACAAATCGCCAATGATATTAAGGTGGGTGTACGCTTCTCGCCGGGTACTGTCTTGGAGCTGAAGACACCTGAAACCACACCACTGTTAGCTACTAAGACCAAAGCTTCGGCGTACTTCAAAACCGAGAAACCTAATGGCTTCCTAATGTACTTGGGTAATCACAACAGAACTGCTTCGGCCGGTACGACACCAGCAAATAAAGACAACGAAGACTTTATGGCTGTAGAGATCGTAAATGGTTATCCGATTTTGACCATCGATGTCGGTAATGGACCCGAGCGTATTACAAATGAAAAATATGTCGCCGATGGCAATTGGTATCAAGCTGTAGTGGATCGCACTGGTTCGAATGCTAAGTTGATCATACGCGAGGAGTTGGACAACGGCACTGTCGTGGAACACAAGAAAGAGCAACCTTTATTGGGCGCCAACAATGTCTTCAATGTCGATCGCAATAGCCGCTTGTTTGTCGGCGGCCTGCCACCACCAGCTGACTTTACGCCACCGCATGACATACAAAGTAATGCATTCGAGGGTGAAATTGAAGATCTTAAGGTTGGCGATGATCATGTTGGCCTGTGGAACTTCGTTTTCGGTTTGGAGAATAACCAAGGCGCACAACAACGTGATAAGCTCTTAACCGAAGAGATACCACCAACAGGTTACCGGTTTAACGGCAATGGTTATGTCGCGCTCAAAGCAGCGCCGTACAATTTACGCCAACGCTCCAGCATACAATTCAGCTTTAAGGCATCCAAGGACTCCAAAGATGGGCTACTCTTCTACTATGGCCGCAACGATCAATTCATGTCGGTTGAACTCGTGAATGGTGCTCTTTTCTTCCGCTACAAGCTGGGTGAGCGTACAGTGTCGACGGGCACGGAGGATGTTTACAACGATGACAAGTGGCATCGTGTTGTGGCCGAGCGTGATGGTAGACGTGGTCAATTGAAGGTAGATGATTTATTGTTGGCACAAGAAGAAGTACCCGAAGGTCCTACCGAATTCAGTCCATCACCGAAGCGTATATTCTTTGGTGGTTTCCCCGGCAAACGCAATCATTCGGCAGTTATTGAGCATAACTTTGACGGCTGCATTGACGAAGTTTCTATATCCGGCACAAAGGTCGATCTGGGTAATAATGTGCATGCACATGGTGTTAAGCCGGGTTGTCCGAAGAAATTCTCAACGGTTTTGGCTTATCCACCAAATGAATATGGTTTCTTGCGCAAGGCAAATGTCACGTCGAATAATAAATTGAACGTAAACCTCAAGTTCAAGACCCGCCAACGCGACGGCGTACTCTTCTATGGCGCTAATCATGACCAAAGCGCAAATATTGGCTTGACTCTCAATGATGGTTACTTGACATTGCGCAGCATGGGCGCTGAGGTGGTGTCCGATATGAAGAAGTTAAATGATGGCGAAGAGCATGTGGTTACCGTGCAACATGATGGCGATCAGCTACGTCTGTCGATAGACGATACGGAAGATAAGCGGTAAGTGCTTAATTGGGTGAATTCGGTCCATCCGGTCCGTTCGACAGAAGTTTTTTTTTTGGATTTGAACGGAGGGTTTGAAATATAGAGCAAGCCTCCGATAGAGTTGCTTCTTAAGTTCTGAAAAACTTCGGGAAGCTTTGGGAAATGAAGAGAAAGAAGAGGCAGTAAGATTAATTAGAAAATTTAATGCTTTCGAGTGCATGAATTTCAGAACGATGCTTACGGCAGTTCTTTAAACTATGAATTAGCTGACTTACGGAATGCTCAGAATATAATGTCCTTAGAAACTCGCACTCGTTCTTAAAACTCTGGATGAAGCTATTCAATTTTGACATATAGAAAATCTGAGAGCGTATAATTTCTTGAATTCTTCTTCTTAATTTATTATTCTAGCTTACCCTACACACCGGAAGCTCTATACATACACGCAGGCGACATCTTCTTCGGCGGCTTACCCGACAATTACATACCAGTACGAAATGCCCTACCGACCTTGGCGTACTTCGCGGGTTGCATCAGTGATGTGACAATCAATGGTGAGATCGTCAATTTCGCCGACAGCGCTGAGAAGCGTAATGGCAATATTAATCATTGCCCAACAGACATTTTAGGTAAAACAAAATTAGTTTACATTAGATTTTCAGGGATATTGATTAATAATATTTTTTATCCACGCCGACAGCTTACGACATTGCTGCAGTGCCATTATACTTCCCAGAGGGTGCAAATGAGCTATTGCCCGGCGCCGATTATCCAGGTAACTTTGCAGTGCCATTGGCACCAACGAAAGCTCCACCAACAACCACCACAACAACATCACATCCAGTTGTTGAGACGACGACGAAAACGCCACCTACACTGAGCCCGCCAATAATTGGTACACGATTCGGTGAGTTGGATGAAAATGAGCGAGAGCGACAACGTGACCGTGAAAGGGAAGAAGAACGTGAACGTGAGAGGGAGCGAGAACGAGAACGAGCGCGTGAGCGGGAACAAGAACTTGAAAAAGAGCGTGAACGTGAGCGCGAACGTGCAAGGGAACAAGCGAAAACAGCTGCCGCAATACCAGAATCCGACGAATTGCCACCAATACCTGAACCAAAACCGGCTGAACCACCAATAATATCCGGCCCAGTACGCCCATTGATACCACAAAATGAACCAGAGGATCCGCGTTGCAAACTGCCCACAAATCCCAACTATGATGTTGACTTTACCGAGGCAGGCTATCGCTATTACTCGATGCGCGAGCAGCGGCTGGAAATACCGCCACCAACCAAACTGCGCAAACAATACGACATTAGTCTCAACTTCAAGACTGAGTACCCAGTCGGTTTGCTCTTCTATGCGGGCATTAAACAACACTCCGACTATATTGCCATCTATCTGTTGGATGGTAAATTGCATCATAAAGTACGCATAGGTGGTGAGGAGGTGAATATCACAAGCATCGATGAGGTGAACGACGGTGAATGGCATACCGTTAAGGTGACACGAAAACACCACACAGTCAGCCTATTTATCGATCAAGTAGAAGTCGGCACAGTCGCTGAGAACGTGGCTGACGACTATGAGTTTAATGTGCGAAATATGATGCTCTCTCTTGGCGGTCTGTCCAAGCTGTGGGAAGCGGAGGTTTATGAACGCATTAATTACGTGTCTGACGACAAGCCATACTACAATGGTTGTTTGAAGGATCTTCGCTTGAATGATCTGAGCTTGAAGAAGGAGCCCGAAACATACTTCACAGTGCCATGCTCAACCGAAGTGGAACAAGGTTTCTTCTTCACCAAGGAGGCGCAGTATATTAAACTATTCGAACGATTTGTCGTCGGCACTGATTTCATTATCAACTTTGATTTCCGTCCACGCGAACCGGATGGTCTACTCTTCTCAGTGCACGGCAAGAATGCCTATATGATATTAGAATTGATTGATAACACGCTGGTGTTCACTGTGAAATCAGATTCTAAGAATATTGTCACCACAAACTACACCTTGCCCGATAACGGTAGTTATTGTGATGGCAAGTGGCGTAATGTACAGGCGGTGAAATCGAAATTCGTCATCTCAATTTCGGTTGATTACTTTAGCACACATCCGGGTGTTGGCTCAGATGGTTCGACGGTGACAAAGACTAATCGTCCACTCTTCTTGGGCGGTCATCATGCGTTCAATAAGGCGCCTGGTTTGAAGACCAAGAAAACATTCAAGGGCTGCATACGCAATTTGCAGGTGAACAAGAAGGCCGTGTATATAACACCGAAGATGATACATGGCGATATCTGGCAAGGCGCCTGTCCATTAAACTAATTGGAAGCGCTGGAAGTGATATACAAATATTACAAAAAAAAGAAGAAAATAATAATAATAAAGATAACTTAATAAAAGTTTAAAGAGAAACGAACCAAAAAAATTGACGACCGAGTATGCTGCTGTATTGCCACAAGCTCTGCCTGTGGCTTGTGCCATTTTTAGCAGCAGACGACACTATTTGATTATGACTACTCTATTTTACATTTTCCGATTTTGTTTTTATTTCCTAATTTTTTATGTTCTTTGCTTCAATTAATAATGAATACCTGTAAAGTTTTGTACTAGAAACATCCATTTGCTTTCCCTTTTTTTTAATGTAATACTGATAAAGTTTTTAAAATAAAGTTTCCCGTATTTTTTTGCAGAAGTAATGAGTTTTAGTTTGGGAATTAACGAGAAAGGATTACTTCATCAAAGCGCTAATTATATTCCCAATCTCGTAAGGAGATGTGAGAATCTGTGAAATAAGCGTATTTTTCTTAGTAAGGCCCCTATGATCCTATCTTCAGTTTCAGATATCAAAAAGGTTCTAGGTGCTTCTGTTTTTCGTAAAAGTTTTGGAACAGAAAGTAGCCACATGAGTGTTTTTTTCACTAAAAGCGAGATTGTCTGCATAGACTTTAGACCTTACATATCCCCACAGGAAAAAGTCTAAGGGTGTGATGCCACTGTATCTTGGTGGCGAATCGACCGATCCAAAACGTGAAAATATATTTACACCGAATTGTTCTCTCAATATATCCATTGTTTAATGTGTCGCCTTGTTGAAACCAAATGTCGCGGAGATCACCACCTTCAACTTCAGGCATCAAATAGTTAGTTATCATGGCCCGATAACGGTTACCATTGACGGTTACGTCCTTACCGGCATCATTTTGAAAACCGATGACTCCACCGGCCCACTAACAACACCAAACTATTGATTTTTCTGGTTGATATGGCAGTTCCTGAATCTCTTCTGGTTGCTCTTCGTCCAAATGCGGCAATTTTGTTTGTTTACATACCCATTGAGCCAAAAATAAGTTGCAAACCGCGCCGATTCGATTTCCGACGGTATTCGTGTACACTCTTAGCTACGGTCTCTATATTTCCTGCACTGCATGCTGGACGTGGTCTATGACCAGAAGTTAGGGGAAGAGCGCGAAATACATTCTTTACAGAACGTACATATTCGTAATAAGTTGAATGATTTGTAAACGTTGTTTCTTTCCATGATGAAGTGCCAAACAATACCGAACAAAAATAACATGAAGGCTTTACACGACTCACGCGTGATCTGTCAAAAAACGGCTATTGAAAAAAGTGCCTCTACTTGATGTGGCTAAGTGATATTTTTTTACATGGAATACACACTGATTTTATAACGCCTAAAATTCCACCACATATTATTTCCAACTTGTAGTTGAGAAGCGACTGTTACTGTAGCAGAGGCTTTTACAGAGGCACTAAACTCTGTTTGTAGGAGTTGAAAAATTTGACAGCCCTGCAATGTTTTTTGTGTAATTAATTGTTCTTGTTAAATAGAATACAAAGAAAGATTCAGGCACTATTAATAAGTATATTTTCTATGGTGCCTGATGTGGAAAACAAATAAACATTATTTATATATATATATATATATATATATATATAATATATATATATTATATAAATTTGTTTGCAGTTAGCAATAATTAATATAAGTTGAGGTTCTTGACCGAATCAACTTTCTAACCCCTTTCAAACTATCAATATTCCTTGTTTCTTAAAAGTTCGGAGAAAATTAAGCAGACAATTCTTTGATTCTCTTTTCTATTTTCTTTTTTAATTACCTTTAAATCTTCGATTAGTCGCTTTGGTTCTTTAAAAATAGATAGATGTGCACATAGCCAAACTCACTTTTGTTTATTTTATTCATTCATTTATAAATATTTTAAGAAAATTTATAGCTACAACAATGCCCAGTTATTCTTCTTTGATGAACTCCTCAGAATTTTCTTCTCTCTTTATTTCATCATGATAAATGAAAGCTTTCAGAGCAGACTCAACAAAAAAGCAAACAACATAAGAGAAAATACATAAGAAAAATATTTCAACCGAATCAAAAGCAACATTATTATATTTCTCGCGCTCTTCTTCGTACGTCTTCAAAGTAGTCCGACCCATATAGCACGTCACAATGCATATGCTTATGGCCAACCTAGCAGTCCAAATACAGATACGTTCGAAGCGATTCAAAGGCATTTCGCCATATTTCCAGGGACCAGTGAGCGCTTGAAATAGATACCATTGTATGAAGAGGCTTTCTACCGTGTCGCGAAAGGTACGCTTAAAAGACTGCGAGCCTTCGTGAAAATTTGTTGCATCCAGCACCAAGGGCTTAGTCGTGATCCACTGTTCGACATCAAAAGTGCACATGACCTCATTGGCATAGTCTTCAATGACAATGCTGCGACAATACCAGCTCGGATAGCGACCTGCTTTATCACGGCGTATGCTCAGTAATAGTGGCTGAGCGAGATCATCGCCGCTTAGCGGTAAACGCAGCGTGCATGTAGAGTTGCGCACGAGATGTGGATTCTCGGGGTTTTGATACACAACAAATTTGCGCGTGTCTTGACGCAAAGCGAAAATGAGAATAATATTTGCCGACGAATCAGCATTCCAATGACCGCCGGTGCTTATATGCACGTTAACTCCATACTCGATGTGACATTCCTCCTGATCGAGTAGCGTAATGAGATCACCTTTGTGATTATGCAGATTATAGTGAGCCCACCAAAACAGTGCGGTGAAAAGTAAAAGTAGAAATAAGAAAAACAAAACCATATAACCGTTAGTGGGTAAATGCGTCAGCACACGACGTGGAGTATCGGTCTCCATGGCGTAGGTCGAATGCTGCTTACCTGCGAACGTGGACAAGTGATAACAGCTGCAGGTCATATTCTCTTTGTCGGCTAAGTTCAGTTTCGGCACACAGCCAGCTGTAGACCATGCGGGATCGCGTAACTTAAAGTCCCACCTGAGACACTTTAACATCGTGGTCTCAAATTTAAATGTTTCACGCGAAGAAATATTGTCTGCCGCCATTACAGCCAGATATGCCCAAACATTGCCACCCTTATCATTGACAATGTGGTATGTGCTCTTCTGTGGCACAATATCCGCCGAGTCGCGTACCTGATAGCTACGTGGTTTTGTGCATAAATTCAGTTTGACGCAGAGTCGTGTCGTGGGATCGGAAAACTTCACAATTGCTGCAGTATTTTCTGGCATCTCGATGCGATAGATAGCCATGTCTAAGGAGTCATTGACATAGCCTTCAACTATGCTGGGTTCAGCTGGTGGTACTGCAGTGCTGCCGGAGGATAAAGACATGCGGAACTCAACTGGATTTGATATCGACGTTTGTTCTCTCATTGGATCTACGCTACTGTAAACGCTGAACGAAACTATGCCAGTGTTGAGTGGCTCAGAGTCGGGATACCACCAAAAGGGATTACGCTCGAAGGATACCACCTGAAAATGCAATTGACCACTCTGCAGCGTGCTTTCAAGCTCAGCAAGTACAGCGGCTGGCAACATTATTTCAATTCTCCGATTATTCGTTTGTAGATTAAGCATTTTTGTGCCTTCGATGCTGAAAACGTCCACTTTCACGCCGGGCTTATCCAATTTGTAGTGGTCATCCGTCGGTTCATGCATAACTGTGCTCGCTACACCCACAAAATGCAGACAGCGGAAAACCTCGAATATCACATCCAGCCAATTCTCAATACGCGTAAGCACTGTTTCATCGAAATCCGGTAGGGGTGCATAGCGTTCGCTGAGTCGGCTAGGTGAACCGCTATTCGCCGGTTCGATACGCACAACGGGCGGCATATCTTCCAGTTTAGCCGAGAATTCGGCAATCAAATCAAAAACTTGGTTGTTGAGCGTATCGTAGGGCTCGGGCAGTAGTTCTCGATACTCTCTATCGGTTATTATGTAGTGAAACCCATTTGAAATCAAACGTAGGAATTTGGTGAATACGCGTACACGCTTATTATCCAACGGTTGCAACGGTGCTAAGAAATTGCGCGTAATTTTAGTCATTTGCTCCACTCTCAATAACGTTACCATCTCCAGCCAACCCAGGTGATGGTGTATAAGCTCACCCATGGCCACCGTGCGTGCGTTTCGTGTCAGCACATCGGTTAATACCATAACGCGTTCGACATCGCCATCCAACAAGAGTTTTGTTACGTTATTTGCCGGCTTGGATAGAAACGCCTCGAGCGCGGCTTCGTTCTGTGGTGCTTGCATGGTGGACACACCCACGGACACTTGTGTTTCGGTGCATGCAAAGAGACAATCACACACCACAATTTTCACACTACTCGTCACCGGCAATCGCGTACTCAAGCGTCGCTCATTGGTGCGATCGAAGGTGAATGTCTCGGCTATGTACTGATAAGTGATCGGTCCGTTGGAGTCTTCAAATCCTTTGCACTCAATATGAAATTCCGTTTCATACTCAACACCATTTGTGGGTTCGATGCTGCAACTACCCGCTTTGGGCGGTTCATTTTGTGTTAGTTCTATTACAGCTTTCCCGTTCTGGGAGCCGCTTATCACGGCTGCTTCGACGGTAACACTGCCACTGTTGGGTGGCATGAATCCAATGCGTAGTGTGTTGCTGGGTGGACTGTTACCGCTGCTAACCGTCCACGAGATAGTCGGTTCATGTGTGCAGCTCGGGCAACGCATGCGTAAATGTACCTTACGTCCTGCAGCGTATGTGTCCAAAGCACAATTCTTCACACATAATATGTAAAGATAATGCTTTGATTCGCTTGTAATTTTAACCGTTTGCTTTGCAACATCCCTTTCGGTTGTACTGACATATGAGCTCACTCGGAAGGTAAAAGTGTAGGATTTACCAAGACGAAGCACGCCAGCTGGTACGTGGAGGGTGTGGTCTGGAGGAAGGAAAAAGTGCGTTAGGTTTGGATTTAAGCTGATTTCTAGTATGGGCTTGAGTCACACTAAACAATGCTTCCAAATATTTTATTTTGTACAAGGAAATATGCTTAAGGTAAGATATGGAGATTCGAGGAGATATCTGATTGGCTATAAGTGGGTAGTACTACGTTTAACAGCGTCACGGGTTCTAGTCTATACTAAATCAAAAACTAAAACACTTCAAAGCCTAATGAACTACACCTGGGGGCCGGTGTTTGTCTTTCCCATTGAGCTAGTGTCCAAGGGTTGGCTTTATCCAGATCAGTCTGGCTCTTGTCTGGCCGATTCGACGTGAATAATATACCTTCGTGTTTAATGGCTCGGATTGGCAAGCAATAAATGAAGCTCTAGATAAGCCTTCTGGGCTATGTTTGGCATTTATATTGTCCTCCTCCAAGGAGAGGAAAATAGAGGCGTCTACACAGTCAGCCGAAGAGTCATGTAGAGAGGTATTACTTCTCCTATATTAGACAAGAATAACTTGTCTCCCTTCAGCGTACTAAGAAGAATATTAAGCCACTATCGGCTCTGTGATTAGTGGCTTAATATTTAATTGGTTTCGGAAATTTAGTAGTTCTAATAGCATAGTATTTTATCGTGAATCAGAAGTACAGGGATTAATATTAGTTTACGCAGCTGAGTGTTTTCCTCACCTCACTTATGTAGGTTTGAATTCCTCAGATTTTAGCCTACCTGTGCCCATGTTTGCTCCACAAAAACTATTCGAACTATCATCGCTTGATTCACAACTCCACAGGTAATTCATTCTTTGTTCCGCCAATGGCGAGAGAGCGTAGTCACGGCTCTTCGAGCCATCCAAGAAGAAGGACTGCCGAACACCCACCTCACGTGTGCTGCCACCCAAAATATGAGCTGAGACTGGCTTGGACATGACGAAGATGTAACACTAAGTAACAGAATGTTAGACGTTGAATCTTTACGAAGAACTTACAAGCATTATTTAGACTCACTCTAACTTTTTTATGCACAACCACGTCCTCGTAGTATTCATCCACATTGACACGTATCATATAAGACTGAGCCACAACACCCTGGTAGTTGAACCATAAGCGATAGGGTTTGACCTTCAATTGCTTCTTGTCCGTATTGCCGAATTCATGTAAGAGAACTAGCGGAACACACTCTGATTAAGAGAGTAATGATTATTATAGATTTCTCACCTGTGCCAATGCTATTGTGTATAGTCCAATCCATTTTCATGCGTGAGTTCGGCGCACAATGCCGATGTATGATCGCATTGAAAACATTGAAGCGTGCTATATCCACCATGAGCGGCTCCTGCGGATTGGAACCATGCATGAAGCTGATATCTGGTATGCAAGGCACGCTTGGCGGCTGAATGATGTACAATTCGAAAGTGTGCTCGTAGAGCGCATTCGATGCCATATCAGCAACGCGCACTTTTACGCTCAACGTACCTGCGTCCCAGAAGCGCTCATAGCCTTCGTGATAATAACCACTTTTGTAAGGTATACGCTGCGCATGTAGCAAACCTAATGATCTCGCCACAGCATGTAGGTCTCTCGCGTAACGAAAACCACTTTTCCTCTTTGGATACGATTCAAATGTATCGATGAGACAATTTTTCGTAAAGGCCTCATAAACGAAATTTATTGTACCCAAGGTCTCTACGGTGACTAGGAAATTTTGATGTTCACCAAACACCCCCACGGGATCGAAGAGGACGTGCAGTTTCGTAAATGTTGGCATGTCCTTTACCTCGCAGCGCTGTCCACCCCAGGACGGCGCACACTTACAAACGAATTGTCCTAACGCGGGTTCACAGGTAGCGCCGTTGCGGCAGGGATTCGTAGCGCAGTGATCAATGAATTGTTCACAATGCCTGCCGCTGAAATAATTAGAGACACACGAGCATTGTAAGTCACTGTCGGTGATTATGCAATTGCCTGCGTTATTGCAGTTGCCGATGGGGCAGAGTTTCCCAATAGCGCGCGCGTGACGAGTTTCCAAGAGGATAATTGCCAAAATTTGTATATTTTGTATGAAATTTTTCATTTTCACTGAGAAGTCAAAATAAAATGGAAAAATTTATTTTCATTTCAGAAATGGAGAAGAAAAATCAAAATGAGAGCGAGAGAAAAATGTGGTTCAAGTCAAATGTGGAAAAACGAGATTTTGTGAATTCACAGTAGAAAACTTAAATGATGCAAGTTAAAGTAAAGAAAAATCTTTCATTATGAACTTTCATCGTCTAGAGGAAATTATATTATATTATTAATGGCAGGCATGGTCGAGCTCTCCGAGTGTACTTATGACATGTAATAAAAGCACCTCATTAAAAACGCTTTGCCATTTTGAAGGTAATGTCACTATGCCTCTCTCATTAAAGCACTAGTCCCTATTGGCAAGCAATTGGGATAATCAATTTTCACTAGGCTCTCTTCTGGCCAATTCTTTACTAGCCAAATCACTTGATATATGGAGGGACAGATCGTAATCACTTCGCGTGAGGCCTGGATTAATATGGTGCATGCATACGAAGTACAAAACCAAGCTCATGGAGCTTCTAGCGAGTCACTACCGATGTGAGTGGTCCGGCGTTGTACTGATGAAACACAATCCAATTACTGACAGTAAAGGTTTACACTAAGAGTTTTGGGATAATTCCTTGTCAATTCTTCCAAACACAAAACAGAGTGTTCCGCACAGTCAATCCTGGCACCTGCCTGGTCGCCATCCACTTAAGAAATGAGTTGATTTGATCAGCAAAGGGAAATTCAGTTCATGAGATTTTTTCTTGTCAACTCATGCGACAGCCATAAATCGAGTGGTTCGAAACTGTTTTTATTTTTGCAATGTTTAGCTGCGGGACAATCGTAGCACCGCTTGAATGACGGTCAGACTGGGATTTTTTCATTATTTGATCGCCATTTTCGACAATGGGCCTTCCATACCGTGAAGCATTTTTTACGTCAAAATTACTGGAATAAATCAAAGAAACCGAGATTTTACATGTTCGACTATTAGTATCAGTGCCATAAACATTCTTCTCGTTTTCTTTTGCGTTTTCGCCTTTATCGAAGAAAAATTATAGAACTCAGCGTATTCCAACTCTGCGGGTGTCCATCTTTGACATGCGCTCATACACTGCTGAGTTAAGTGTTCAACACTTCTCTCTTTATAGTACAAAATCCCAACTTTCTAATGCTATCCAGTAAAATGCAATCACTCTTAAGAACGCGAGTTACAGATCACTTAAATCATCTCTTCTAAAAATAATGGATTACTTTTTACTAGACCTTTTAATTAGGTATAGATATTTTTTTTTAATAAATTTTATATTGATATATTCTTATATATATATTTTTAAGGCTCCACTTCTTTGCTTTGTTCTTATTATCAACAAAATTTACATAAATCACTCTCACTCTTTTATTGTGAATTTTCGTAATTCTTTGAATCAATTAAATTTACAAATAAAATTCACAAACCTTAAAATAAAAAAAATATATAGTTAAATGTTCGTATGCATCAACTCATGCATTACCAATACATTAACACACCCAATAAAGTGTTAATACATAATTTATATCCTCGCTATCAGTCAGTGGGCAGCAAGCGAAATGTTGCATGAAATCAGCAACTTAACACCGAAATAAATGTGCTTGCACACTTCATAATTTCGAGTGCATAAACAAATGGTAATTCACACCGTAACATAAATAAATAAGGAAAAAAGAAAATAATGAAAAAATTAATAAAAATAAAATAAATTAAATATAACAAAATAAACTTTGTTTTGTTTTTTTTTTTGCTGGTCAGCTGGCTGCAAAACACAAACATTGCTTGTATAACACACATTGTATCACACTGTCCTGAGCCCCTCTGTCGAGTGTAAGCCCTTGCTAGCCTGTATGCACATATGTATGTGTGTGTTAGTGTTAGTGCTTGGCTGCGCGTCTATGCTTCTTTGTCATAAATTGAAATTAGTCACGAATGCGTGATAAATTCGCTTTTAAATATTTTCAAAGCGAGAAATTCGCAACAGGAACACCGGTGTGCTAAACAAACTGTAATACACACACACACACACACACACACACATATGAACGCATGTATGTGTGTTTGGGTTTTGTTTTTTTCATAAGCTGATAAATTTAAATGTAAATTATATGGTATTTCTAAATGGCAAAATGTATGTGCAGTTGTGTGTACGAATATGTACATATGTACGAGTGTGTTGTATGAAACAATGTTTCTGACATATTTATGTTACTTTTTTCTCGCAGTTAAGATTGATTGAACACACATATGCATTTATGTTCATTAATGTATTTTCATTTACGTATAAAAGGTCAACTCTCCATGGAAAAATATTACGGTGACCGACAAAGGGTAATGCGCGAAAATTCTACGAAAAAATACGTTGACTTACAGAAGGTCTCAAGACCGGAGCATACTCATGCAGTAACTAAGGTGGTAACGTGTTGACCGATGCCCCGTGCATTTGTGCTGTATGAAAGGAACACTTCTCTAGCTGAGTGGCAGTGGAATTGGAACTCCAAAAGATGATTCTTCAGACGATTACGATTAAACAGTTGTTTCATTGCCCGTCTATTAAGAAATTCGAATAGCAATCTTCCGGCCAAAAAAAAATAATAATAAAAGGAAGGAGCTGATGAATCGTAGGCTGAGCTATTCAAATATGGCGGCGTATAACTGTTAAAGTACATGTATCAGTCTCTTTTCAAAATATGGTCGGACGAAAACTTGCCCCACACAAAAAATGGGGTCCCACAGTTTGTGCTAAATGCCTTCTATAGCATTTAAAGTCTTAACAATCGTGTTGTATAAAATACTAGAGCCCACCGTTAACTAGCTGGTCGGCGCTAAACAGTGTGGCTTTAGACTTGGTAAATCCACCATACACCAAATGTTTTAAAAGACCGGTGAAAAGAGAATCGGTACACACCACCTCCTAGTCAATTATGAAACTATCTTTGACAGCAGGAGAAGGAGTTGCCTCTACGCCGCTGTTTCTGAATGTAGTATTCCCGCAAAACTTATACGGCTGAGCAAACTGATGTTAGACAACATCACAACCGTAGTCAGCAGTCAGAGTAACCTCTTGAAGCTCTTTAACTTGATGCTGGAGAAAAAAATAGTAAGTAATAGTGCAGGGCTAAATAGAATAGGCACAATTATTTCCAAGAGTTTACAACGGCTGGCATAGACTGAGTAAGGAAGTGAAGCGTAGGGATCTGGTAGTGAACGAGGAAAAGAGAAAATATCTCCTGTACAATTTTCGATGACTCGTTCGAGCATTTCTTTGGGTAACTGTCGAATAACACTCGTATCTTTCGCTCCCATGCCTGAATCAAATCGGGCTTGTCCGCATAGACTTTAGACTTTACATATCCCCACAGAAAAAAGTCTAACTGTGTGATATCACGTTCTTGGTGGCCAATCGACCGTCCCAAAAAATGAAATTATCTGCTCTCCGAAGTATTCTCGCAAGAAATCCATTGTTTGAGCCATGTGTGGAAAGTGGCGCCGTCTTGTTGAAACCAAATGCCGCTGAGATCACGATCTTCAATTTCAGTCATCAAATAGTTGGTTATCATGACGCAATAACGGTCGCCATTGACGGTTATGTTCCCATCGTAATCATTTTTGAAGAAATGTAGACTGATGATTCCACCGGCTCTGCCCACAAGCAGGTCTTGAATATCTTCACGTTGCTTTTCGTCCCAAATACGGGAAGGTGGAGTTGTCCTCTATATCTACTGGTATGGCCATGAATTGAACTGTCATGTAAGAACTTCGAAATACTTGCATCTACGTTCAGTTAACAACGTTCGCTGCTTTTCTTCAAACAAAATCTGAGTTTATCAGTTTCTTATCGGAGACTCACGATACTAAAATCTAATAAAACTTCCAGTTTTCCCAAATTAAAATCTCGTTTCGTTCTGGCGTGTTGGTTTATATCTACTATTACTCGTATGCGTGCAACAGTGGCACAAAAGTGTCAATGCCAGCACATACAGGCACATGCGCTATTACAACTGTACTTGAGTAACACTGACTAACTGAATATCATACATTTTTGGCCCATTTGCGGCAGTTGACATGACATGACAAACCATTGCCATGTCGCCAACAATAAAAAACATTTGCAACACAATGAAAAATGGTTTGTCACTTACCAAGCTAAAAATTACAAAAAAAAAAATTATAAAAAATTATAATACAACAACAAAACTATTCTCAACTAGCGCTATATATCATTAAGGCTTAGCTATCTTTTATATCGTTTGGAACCAAATTATACAAACATTAAGCCAAATTTGGAATTACTACGCTGAGAGGACTGCGGAGATGGAAGGTAGGTACGCAAGAGTGCAGCCTTTTGATGCACTAACCTTAAGACCTTTTTATTCTTGTTAGCCCGTTGCATTGTGTTCCAGCCATTTGGCTGACGCAAAGAAACTAATAAAATCCTTTACGCTTTTTGTAGTCAACCATTCAAGAGTTGATACCTGATGCATACCAAGTACTTTATGTCTGATCTGTGATATAGCTGGGGATCCATTCTTTACTGCTTTTCAGCTGCCCAAGAGATTGTTATATGTCAAGCCAAATGTCCAATGCCCCTATATAGTAGCTACATGTCTGTATATGGTTCTTCTGGGCCTATTTAATGAGTTCTTAGCCAATTAGAGATACCAATACAGTTAGTTCCTTCTCTACCTGGTCTTTCCAACGAAGTGGAGAACACCTCCTCTGCTTTATTCTTATCCATCCGGACCACATGACCTAGCCGGCGCAACCGCTGTTTCTTGATTTGCTGAACTCACAGAGATTCTTAAGCAAAACCTATCTCTGAAAAACTCTCATCAGCTGTTGTTGTACCACATAGCAGGACGGGAACGATATGCAACTTTTAGAGTTTGTTTTTCATTCGTCGAGAGAGTACTTGACTTTTCAATTGCCTACTCTGTCCAAAGTAGCAACTGTTGGCAAGACTGACTCTGCGCCAGATTTCCAAGCTGTCATTGTGGTTAA